GCCCTAATCATGAAGTCTGAGTGTGGTTTTAATAAAGAGATTTGGTAGTTTTTTGTCTAAACAACACTTAGATTATTGGCTGTTGTAAAATGGGGCCATTTTAAAAGATTCTGCTTTTTGGAGTGACTGCTGAGTTGAAACTCTGATAGAGAGATTCATAAATGTGCTTTGCTGTATCTGCCCAAGTCCTTTGTGGTGGCAGCTTAAGGTAGAGTGAGCACCTGTGTCAGTGAGAGAGATTTGGTGTATTGTGGGTGAGCCCAGTTTGAATTGCCTTCCTCTCATTGCCTCAAACTTGCCATCGTAATTTTTCCTTATACTAAACCTAAAAGAAATAATGTGGTCATCTCGAGGGCAGAGAAAGTGTCATTAAAATAAACATAATTATGACAGAAACTGCATCAAAATTCAGTATGCCAGATCAGCTAGCTGCTAAATGTGTAGGAACTTCAGGACATTATGCATCCTTTAAGATGGAAAACAGGATTCTTTTTATTCAAAAAGATTCAACTGGTTGGACTGATTACTTTGCTGTAAGTAGAGTGATGTAATTGGGACAGGTTTTAAATGGACAGTGCCTGCTATTTGCAGGTTTGTAAGAACTGACTGCACCATACAATCATTTTATATGGTGGCTGGCTGTATTAATTTGGTGAATCATCTAGATGGTGATTCAGCTCAGGATCACTGTTAATCTAATGATTTTTATTGACTCCATTTCAATTTTGACCTTTACTTGTATCATCTAATTTAATTTTAGTAAAAGTTTACAGTAGAGAATTATAGCAATATATTAGATCTTAAGTTTTCTCCTTTTTCAGCGCTTAAAAAAGCCTGTGAAAAACAGACTGAAGAAGTTATTATTTCAACAAAGCAGATTGAATGAAAATTTGAAGTATCTAAAAAAATGAGGCAAAGAATGTGAGGGCCACGTTGGTTATTGTCAAAGGATATATAGCGTGGTGTGTAACTGGGTTATCAGATCAGAGACTCACTGTCCGAATCTAATGTGGTAGAAAATGCCTTCTGTGGGCACAGAGCGAAATCAGAAGTGCTTAGGCTGTTATGAATTTATGGGGGTTTTGGAAGGATGTAAATCAGGTTTAAAAAACTTATTTCTAACTGTAATTACTTCATAAACCTGAATTATATAGTGCTGCACCTAGGCAACAATGCCAAACTAACAGGGCAGAATAAACATGCAAAAGAGAGTGACACATAAGAGATAAGTAGTAATAATTTGTTTGGAGACTTTGTTTCATGATTCTGTAACATATTTATCGGGGAAAAAGCAGAGGGATTTCAAAGCAGCTATTCTGGGCACTCCTCCAGAATTAAGTGCAGCTGTTTATGCCTTAAAGTCAATTATTTTTCTTGTTTGTGCTCTAATCATTCATTATTTGTAGATGCCACAAAACAATCCGTGAAGAGCTGACATAACAAACATTATTCCCTGTAGATTTTTTTTTAAAATATTTATTGTATGCTTAAAGTTTGTATGAGGTAGTTCTGTGAACTCAGCAGTACTGAAGGTGGAGAGGGCAGCAATGTGTGAATTTAAAGCCTTTTAGCGCTATTAAATATCAAAGTCTTATTTATTTTTAAAACCACTTGGTTAAGGTTTTCCCTTTTCTTCTGGCACATTGTTACTGTTGGGATAAATCTATTAACTATGGGCTGAGTCAGTGTCAATCCATTGCACTGTGAGCTATTTCAGGTTGATATTTCAAAGAGGGATTTATCTCTGTCACTGTAATGGTACAAATACCTTTGTCCATCTGATGCCAGCTTGTCTGCTGTTGGATCCACACCTTGAGAATTTCAGTAGTGGCTTAGTTATTAATAGAGGGCAGAAATGATCCTGAGCTATGATGAAAGAGTTTCCATGAAAAATGCTCACAGCAATCATTATGGTTTTCAATTTAGTATTGTGAGCTTTGGGTAGCCTGAGTAAAAACCCAAGTCATCCACATTTTTAAAGAGATTAATCTCTTCTTAAGCAAGTTGTGTTAGACTTGCTACCTGAAATATGTATAAAAATGGCTCACAGAGGTTCCTGTGGGTCCTTTCCAGTTAAATAGAATGTACCAGACAAAAAACATTTTGGGTGCCACTAGATGCCACACAGGTCTATAATACAGCAGTACCTCTCTCTTCAATAATTAGAACTGGTATATCAAACTCTCCACATAGGATCTTGTAGGACTGGCTGGCTGAATGATGGACATCATGAAAGTTCTCTGTTTTGTGTCCTGCTGCCTCTAGTTCTGTACAAGCAAGGAGAAACAGGGGGAATAAGCAGTCTAGTTATGTTGTGCCTGTTAAAATTTACCACCCTGTACCAGAAGAGAGAAGAAATACACAGGCACAAGGGCCAGAGCCACTAGTGGGACAAGAACAGCAGTGCCACTGTGCAAGGAAAGAGGAGGGGATAGTACAAGAATAAAACAAAACAAAAATAATCATGGGGAGAGAAAGGAAAAATGTCCAGTAATAGAGAAACGTGTAAGAGAACAAGGGGGACAGCAGGGAAAGACCTACATAAGAACTGTTTTCTACTTGACTGCCCTTATTTTGGATGCAGACAGCTTTTCTGCAGTAAGGCCCTGGCATTTAGAAATAGAGTTCAATAGGACTTAAAGGCAGCTTGTATTTGAAAAGCTTTATTATGAACCCAGTCCTTCTTTCCTATTCCAATTCTGATTATTCCAAAAGAGAGACTGATCTTGCTTTTCATTTGGGTATGAGGCAAGCAGAAATTTTTACTGAAGTAATCAGAGAACTGAAGGCACCTAATTCAACTTGTATTTTTCAATGTAAATCAGGGAACATTCAGGTGGAATAAAATGAGTGTGAGAGAGCAATAGGAGCTCAAATCCATTGCCCTTGTAGAGGCAAAGAATGGGAGTGGTCTTGCCCATGCATCTCTGCCAGTGTGTAAATCCGAGAGCCCTGCCTGTGGGGTGGAATAGATGGGCAACTAGTGGCCAGATCTGGGTGGGTATTGTGGTTTTTTGGTTTGTGGGTTTTTCTGCTGTTTTTAGTCTCCTGATTCTGTTTTTAAGGGAAGGCTGGTGTTTGCTTTTGAAAGGGATAACAAAAGGCTAAATTCCCTTCAAAGAACAGTATGCTGAGACACACAATGACCTATCACAATGACTAACCCAGGATATGTAGCTCTAGTTCCCAGTGCAAACTGTGCATATCTTGGTCCTTTAGGCTGTGCTAGATAATATGATATCTAGGACATATGTCCAAGATGCATTATTTTGTATCTCTTACTATTAAAATAGATAAAAACAGAAAGTGTACCAAAATGGTAAATAAATGCAGATTGCATGTTTTCTGCAGTATATTCTGTTAGCAACCAGCATAATCAGCTTTGAAAATAAGCTGTTGCACAGCAAATGTCCATGAGAATTTTCTTGCAGTTGAAAACAGCTTACTTATATATCGATTAAAATACTGTTTAAGGCATTTTAGGAAGATGAGTATTTAGAGGGCAGTTTAATAATTTAACCACCCAGCTTGATGCTCTCCATCTCTCACAAATTCCAAAAAAGAAATACTCATAAAATACAAGTTTAAGAAATGTCATTACAGCATTGACTAATATAAATTGCTTGATGCAGCAGTGTCACTCTGAGTGATTGCACTGTAGACAAGTGTTTTCATGACTGCAAAAAGAGATGCTGGGGGCTGAAGCACCTGGGAAGTGATGGGTGGATTGAGTATTTAGATGCCAACCTGAGTCTGGTCTCTACCCAGGGATCATAAATGATGTTGCCAGGTAAAGTGAAGTGTTACAATAGCACTTAACCTTTGCAGCCCATGGAAAGGATACAGTTTATTGTAATAATTCTCATTAAAAATGTGTTCCCACTTTCCTCCCACTATGAACGTTATTGTGGGTGTGAAAATACAGCAAATTAGCACCAAATGAAATGTAATTCAGAGAAGAGTCTGTAGTGAGGACAGGGCTGCTATCTTCTCTCTACCTAAATTTCAATCTTGTTTTGATCCTATAACTATGAAAATATCACCTTTCATAAGTGCTACTTTCATTTAAAAGGCACAGCTTTTTTTGGGGAAAAAAGCAACATACCAAACCAAACCAAAAAAAAAAGCCCACAAAAAAGCCACTATCAAGTCATCCAGCTGTTTGGTTGAGTAGGTAGCTATGTTCATGAAGCAGAAATACTGATTTGGTTTTCTGACAAGTTGAAGCACGGAGAGTGTAGATGTAATTCTATTTATGCTTTCGTTTCAAATAAAGTATAATCCAAATAACTTCTATTAATCAAATTCTGGCCTCAGTCCACTGAAACTGGACATATTCAGCAATGTGAGGAGAGCAATTACAGGCATATGCTACTGTAAGGGGAGAATTGGGCCAGTTACATCTGTAGAACTATAAAAAAAAAGTAAGAGTGATTTAAATCACATTCAGTGTGTAATGCAGTTTTCAGCTAAGCTCATCCCATAGTTTCTTTACATACTCCAGGGGTCCCAAGCCCAGAAGATATTCAGAATGCCAATCTTAACTCTGAATGTCTTTGATTTGGCTGGCAGGTGTCATAATGACCCGAACACCATTTAAGCTGAAAAGAGGGGGTTTTGTGTATGTTAGTCTCTTGTGACATTAATTCGTGCACTACACACAACATTCTAGATGTGAAGCAATTTATCTATTTTTATAGAGGTGGTAACATTAATTTTAATGTTAGCCTTTGGTATGACATAGACTTTGTCTTCATTATTCTGAAATATTGTTTGAAAAAAACCCTCACAAATCCATTTATGTTTTCAATTTACTTTGAACTATTTTTCAACAGCTCAGGTCAAGACCTAATTTCTAGAGCAATCTTCAATGCATTTTTTTGTTCACCAGTGACTTCTATGTGATTAAGGAATCCATCAGGAAAATTCTCTTTTTATTCTCTCTGTAACATCTCTTTTCCCAATGTCCAACTTGCAGCATTTTTATTTTTTTTCTTTAGTGTGGGACCTGAAGTAAAATTTGAGGATGAGAAATGGATGCTATGCTTCGGAAATCGGTAAGTTCATTTCAACTAACTCCTTTGTAATTTTGCATTTTGTTACACAACATGATATTTCAATCTTATGCATGTGCAAAAACTCATTGAAGTATTTGCAATACAGTGTCTGCTGGAGTTCTAATAAAGCACTACTGTTTGCTTTCAAGCCTAAGAATCCTGCCAAAACTATTCAAGCTGGCAAACATCCAAGTGACCTGATTCACAAATTCATCTGTTCATAAATACACTTATTTGAAGAAATACTTTCATATATATATATGTACTTGTGTCTGCCTATGCACACATGCATGTCTCAAACACAGAAGGCAATCAGCTTCTTGAGGCTTAAAAGTGGATACCTCTGATATAAGGTTTCTGTGAGTAATGAAGTAGCCAAGGTGTCTGAAACATTAGTCCTTGCTGGTGTGTGATGGAGAAGAATGTGTACACATGTTCAAAGCAGAGAGATTTAATTGGTGACTTGCCTTATGAGTAAATTCACAAAAATTCTTGTGTTAATAATGTGCTGTTTATGATTGATTGTATAATGTATAAAGTCAAAATTGCCCTCCCAGATTTACCTTTGCAAATGTTATTATGCTGTAATTTCTTCAGTTGAAATAACTGGAAGGATACAAACTTTAGTTAGCAGTAAGTTCAGTAAAAGTGTTATAATATTATATAAAGCATTAAAATTTAGATTTTTCAATTGCAAAAGTGTGGCAAAGTCTCTTACACTCCATAACTGTAGTATCTGACTTATAGTGAAGTGCTCAATTTACATATATGCTGTATAGACATGTACATATATACACATACACTGCACCAACACAAGGCCTGAATAGTTCAGGTTATAGATGATCCCCAAAAAACCGACTGTGCACTAATTTCAGCTCTCTTGATACCATCACACCTGTTCTGTGCAAAGAAATATCACTGCCTGGGCATTACACAGGAATCAGCCTTTACAGACCAATTGCTGACTTGTTTGATGACATGAACAAGCAGGAGTTGTCATCTTTAATCTCTGACTTCCCACCCAATTAAAGAGAAAAGAGCAGACAGCAGGTTGGACTCAGATTGATGCCCCAGTCAGGGTAATTATGATTGCAAAAGATGCTTTCATGGGGTAGGACCCAGCACAAAGAGCTCAGGAGTCACAGAAATTTATTTGGGTGTTGGTTATCAAAGGTTAGGATGTGCCATCAAAAGAACACTTTTGGTAGTAGCAATGTTTCAGGAATTCAGGAATCATAATTACTCGTTAAAACAATTAATATATTTTGGACCCTACTTAGGAGGTTGTTAAATCCTTGTGGGAAAAGGCATACCAATTTTGGTCAAGGTGGTAGGCAAAGCAAGGAGGAAGCTGCACTGCACACAGCCAGAAACAAGGCACAACACTGCCTTAGGAATGATGGTGCTGTCTGAGACATCAGGGAGATTCGTCGTGACCCTCTCTTTTCCAAGCTTCAGGAGATTTTATATGTTTATGACTTCATGGCGTCAGAATAATTTTTAGCAGTCTTTTTCCCTTCCCTCTCTTTTGGAGCTCTTGTTACCCAAGTACTCTTCAGCTGACTTCCAGCACTTACATATCTCAGAGGGCTCGTGTTTCAAACAGTGCTCCCAGGCTGATACCTTCTCAAAACTGAGTATAATGCAAAGGAGATGGTACCAACACAGCACTTATCAAGGTTAAGATGAAAAATCCCATTTTGGGATTTCTCTGAGAATACACCAGGTGGTGCCACGGATGTTTGCTGAGACAGTGTGTAATTACTTTTCTTGTTCTGCCAGAAAAGCTTAAAAAGGCCACATGAATTCTACTTTATCACTTGCCCCCTTCTTTTCACTCATGCTGCCTGCGACTCACTTGGATGCTGTTCTGGAAATGTCTCTGTGCTCAGTGGATGTGACCCCAATTACTCCTTCTTGTTTTTTCTCCTTCTCTTTCTCTCCCTAAATACTACTGGCTTTTCTTCTTTACATTTACATTATGACTAAGAGAAATAACCCCCTGCCCTTCCCAATAACTCGATCCATGAATCTGCAGTTGGCCATCTGATATGAAACATTTTAAGCCATATTGAACTGCACTGTGTCCTGTTGCCTGTTAATTGAACTGAGTGGACAGGATTAAAAATAGATCTGCCTTTTAAAGCAACAATAGTTTAATTTTAAATGAAAAAGTAGTTTCCATTGATTCTGCCCTTATCGTGCTGGAGCCTTCTGATTCTGTACATGTCTAAATTAATGCAGGCAAAAGGCTCTTTTGAATAGTAATGTGTTTCCCACAGTTGTTCCTTGCCCAGCTCATCTTTGGTTGTCATGAGGATCTTGTAGGGTCCCTGTCCAGCCCGTTGCTGCCCCTGCTCCTATGCAGTAAGATGTGAAAAGCAGTCCTGTGCACCAGGGGTGTGAATGGCTCGTGCTAAAGCAAGCACTGGTGTGTGCAATGGCCATGAGCATGACCAGGATGCTTGCAGCAAATCACCCTATGTAGAAGGCATGGGAGAAGGTCATTAAAGGGGTGATACTTGGAGTGATGTTACCATTTATGTGTAAAAAATATTTTGTCAGACTCAAGAGCGCAGATGACTGTCATTTTCAAAATTCTTCACCAGATGGAATGAAGGTCATGTTCATATCATTGATCACTTCTTGATTGATGGTCTAAATGATCAATTACATATAGTTCACAGTATACTTGCATGCATCCAACCAACTAGCTCTTCCTCTGATCCAAATGTCATCTATAACAGACTGACCATATGTAGAATTTATTTAGGATAGAATTACCATCTCATTGCAAAGGTATTCAGTAAGCGCTGGTTTGGGATAGCTTACCTAAATGTTATAAGTTTCCAAATTGTTCTTCAGAAAGGTATTTAAGTTTCAAGATGACTAGAAGTTTCTGATAAATAGCACTCTCATAGCAAGAAAGATCTGAAAGGACAACTGCTAAAGGGCTGTTCTCTCAGCCTGTGGTCACAAACATTTAAGGATATTCCCCTATTTCTATCTCTCTCTGAAACTTTATGTATTTTCAAAAAGTATTTCAGTTTGGAGAGAAAAAAAACCCAACCAACCAACCCCAAACCCCGCCTTTGATTTTTTTAAGGCAACAATTTTGCTTAGTGGGTTGAGTTCTTTATAAAACTTCTGTGGGAAGTCTTTTTGTATGGCAGGAGAACAGCAGTATAGTGTTTTTTCCTCAAGTCTTTTCTCTCTCACTCAATTTTACAACCTGTTATTTACCCTTTCTCTTATCCTTTCCCAGCAATCTTTTCCAAATGGAGCTCATATCAAAGAAAGTTTACTTAGAAATCAAACCTTCAAATTCACAGACTCACAGAGGTTTTTAACTGTAGATTAAATGAGCTCAAACATCCCTAAGAAGAAATATTTTGTAGTGGCACGTAAGCCTCATGCACTATTCAGCTCGGTGATGAAGACTAAAATAAAGTTTTAAGCCACCTTTTATGAAACCAGCCCTGTAACCAGGGCAAGATTCAACCTCGCTCAGGAGAAGGAGCATCTGGAACAGCTGCCTGCTGCAGTAAACAGTGCAAATGAATGGGTCTTAGTCCCTTAGTGCATCCATGCATACTTGTAAAAATATAAGCTTATAAGCATGTGTTGGCAGTAGAGAAAGAAAGGAAGTATTTCTGTGCTAGAATTACATGTGTACATACTGTGAGTAGCACAGAGGAGATGTCTGTATGTATTGTGGCACCATATACTTTCCTTGGTATATCTGCTCACTTGGCTGACAGCACAGAGTGAATACAGGAGGAGTCTTAGGAAAGGGGATCTGACAACACATGAACAATGAAAAAGAAGGAAGTAACTCTGAGGGTGACAGCAGTGTCCTTGAGATAAACTGCAGGTGCGATGATAGTGTTTGAATGTCATGCTTAATGAAAATAGATATGATATACATGATATACTTTAACAGGAAGTACAGAAGTTTGTTTAGAGAGGCAAAGAGAATGGGAACTGAATTTTTTGTCTCCTATGCTGCTGGTATCCTCCTCAGATCACACAACAAACCAGTTCTTCAAGGAGCATTCCTTTTCAACACAAGTCCTAGAGCTCACCTGTCTCCAGGCAGTCTCAGTCAGAACACACCAAGAAATGACAGTCACCAATCTCTGGGACAGGTCAGAAGGCTTGAGTTCAAAAGAGCACCAAATCATGAAATTCCCTCTCCAGGGTGAGCTGTACTGCTGCAGCCATTAAATGGCTATGTCACATTCCCTACCATGCACCAGCCTCCAGGAAAATCAAACAATACAATGGAGTGTTATCCAGGGTTCTAAGCTCTTAAAGTGTTCAGCAGGGCCATGGAGCCAAAGCAGTGGCTTCTGTAGTATGTGTGTGACAGAGATGCTCTTTCCTCAGTTTGGGCAGAAGGGGCCAGGTACAGGGTATCCAGAAGAATGTTGCAAGTACTTTCCCCCAGATTTTGTCTTTATTTGCATACATGATGTGCCTGTTTCAAAGGATTATTCTGAATTTCTGAGTCAGTTTCTAGTCACAGGCAGTTGACTTCCCTCCTTTAACACAGTATAACAAAGTGAGATACAACAGCTTCATCCAGAGAGAGATCAAATTGACAGAACATGCCACCTGGGATAGCCTAGGGGAAAGTGAGAAGTTAGTGACCCTGTAACTACAGGAGGCTGCGAAAAAACCCAAGTAGAGACCTCTAATATGAAAGGAGCACAATGTGAAGAATCTCAGGTGCAGTGTGACCTCAGTCCCTGCATGCAGACGTTGTGTGCACTCACAGTAGCAGCAGAGACATTGCCACTGCCTGTACACAGAAGGGACTCTCCGGAAATGTGACCTTTTGTGGCTCATCACAGGGAATGTGACTCAGAGATACTGCTGCAGTTATACAGACTCATCGTTCCTTCTTTTGTGAGTTTTCTTATCATTTATATGATCTCTTTTTGGTATTTTCAGTGGATTCTCTGCTCACAAAGCCAATGGAAGAAAGAAGAAAACCT